CTTAATTTGTTTTAACGAACTTTGTTGTTTGTAGTAGTCCGTAAAATTCTCTATCGAATGAGTGTAAGCATGTTACGGTGCGACGAATGGTTAGGGAGTAGTAAACCAAACGATGGAGACGGCCATTTTGTTCAGTCACCGTAGGTATGTAGTCACCGTAGGTCGGGGTAGGTTTCAACCGTGTCAATCGCAGCTGTATTCTTTTTCAGAAATCACCGTCAACTGAACTTTGGCGCGTTAAGAAGCCTTCGCTGTCCACGACACCCACACCAGTGCCGGCTCTTTTAGGGAAGTTACTGGGTGCAGATCTATCTTTATTCGCCTGTGGTACAATGTATCATTATTTAATAAAAAAAATCACAGTTTTACAACATTAAAACATAGTTTAACTTTTCTGCTCCTTCCATTGTTCCCAAAACTGAGGTCGCGTTCCCCCGCTGTATCGCACTGTCACTATCACTATTATCGCCAACGACGATCTTTGGCGTAGAAATTCATGGGAACTCTTCTCCCCTGTAGGCTGTTCTAGTCGTTTGCCCAGTTCTTTGATAATGGCGATGGCGGCCGGACCCCAGGGGCCCATTGGTGCAAAAGCTATCGGAGCAAAGATATACCTGCCGAACAAGTACTCGTACGCAAACAGCTGCGCCTTTTTTTCTTCCGCTTCCACCGCAGCTGCAGCCTGCGTTTGCCGCCGTAGATTTCATATGGGAAGGCGCAATAGTATCCCCACTGACACAAGTGACATCCCATGCTTAGCACATCCCTCTCTGCGGTGCAGATACATGGCATACAATTTGCGTTTATCCACGAAAAATTTGGCTTCCATGCGCTCCGAAACACATTTTTGCATTGTTGTATGCTACTGCCAAAAGATTTGCACTGTAGCCGCTAGGCGACCTTTTAGATCCGCTCCCTATCGGAAATCGCACACGTTACCTGGACAAAGCGAGCAGCGTGTGGGTACCTTTTCCGTACATCACACTCTGGAAGTAGTTCAAGTTCGTCTAGCGGCTACTTTACCTATTTGTTTTACAACTTTAATCGGTTTGAAGATCGAAATGCTATTCGTTATGCCACAACTTCGCAACAGAACTCGTACACAAACATATTTTTTTTTGCGCACGAGCGTTGGACATCATTCTAAACAGGATGAAAGTATGCACATCAAAACTTATTTAAATACAAGTCAGACAAAATTTCCGGTTACTTCCCAAAAATTTAACAGACATAAAATTTATTACTGTCGCTCTAAATGTAGCACATCCCGGTTTCCGTGTAGTCTAATCAATGAAGAGATGGCTCTTATCTCGCTGCAGCAGAAGCGAGGAGCTTGTTCGTGATCTCCATGGCGAAGTCATTGAATTCCAGAGTGCAGGAAACCACTAGGAGAACAAACACCGCCACAATTATCCCCGAAATAACGTAAAGGAGAATCTGGCCAACGTCCCAAGGACCGCCTACTCCCGGTTAGCATATCCCACAGCCAATGGGAGGACGACGGCTCGGCATCGGTGTATTTTCCATCCGGCAGATCGGCGGCAGAGCACGAAAAATCCGCGCTCGCCGGCGACGGTAATCGTTCCGCAATCGTTTCCAGCGTTGCACTACAATCAACAGACACCGGATTAGTTCGTCAACGGGTCCTTCAGAATGCACATCATGAACAGTAGATAAGTGGATATTCGGAAGAAAGTCTTTCGATTGGAAAAGGTTTTCAATATAATTAAATGATTTCACTAAGGAAAACACATCCCATTCTCCGAATGGTCCACACGAAAATTAAGTGTTACGTCTGCGTGAGTAAATATTATATCTGTTAGCGAAAGAGATTCTGAATTAGGAAGCGAAAACCATAGCAGCACAAATTCTTGCATAACTGGCTAAATTAATTACATGCAGTAAAAATGAGTAATAGCCTAATTAACCGTATAAATTATTGTGATTTTGTGTTATACTCGAAGTTTCAAAACGATCGTCTATGACGGTATTCGTAGCGGTCACAGTGATCGCAATAGCGATATTGCACCTACGACGACCTTCTTTCGGCATGTCCTACTGCTGAACCAGACTCACCGAATTTCTAATAAGACTTGAAGACTTTGGTAAGCCACATCAGTCGCAGTGCCAGACTTGGGATTATAGTACGACGGAGGCACAGGGCTTTGCAATGAATCCTGTGGGGCAATTGCGGGAGATTCCGATTGTCCCGTCCCGACGTTCCAAAGAATGCACAATGCAATACCAACCGTCCAGCGCAGTGCGACGGTCATTTTTAAGATTCCCTAAAAACACATCAAAATGTGTCTGTCGTCTCATGCACGCTGCATTAAAATTTAAAACACAGCCGTACCTTATCTAAAAGTACATCAATATGTGTTTGTCGTCTTATGCACATTAAAAGTTTAAACATAAAACAAATAAACACAGCCGTACCTTATAATCAATTAATTCGACGTTTTTTTTTAAAGACGGCCAGGCTAACATACTCAGTAATTCTTTAACCTAATGGTAGTTCGAGCCGTCTTACAGAGTTTCGTAAATTTGTTGAAGAGTACATTCATGGAAGCACTGAAATAAATTCCTGCGACGTTGATTTGAGGTCAAAATGTTGACCGCGCTCCACTTGCGTTGTTCATAGCTTTGCAACGCCGATGCAACCGGTTAGGTTCGGGGGTTGGCGGCTTTCCTGCACAATAGTTAGACTGTTATGCGGAAAACGGATCCACCTGGCCTTTTCACGTTGAATGTGACAGGATACAAATGCTTTGTTCGAGTAATAATCAGTCTGGGCCATTTATAGTACCGTTTTCTCGTTCACTCATCACTCTTCAACGCAGTAAAATGGACTGCCTAGGCACAGGTCAGCAGTTTTTTTCTTAAATTTGCTACATTACAGTGATACTGCCAAATTTTTTATCACTGCAGATACTACACTGCTTATCAGTACTCTGATCACTAAACCACTAGAATCCTTTTGGCGTTAATTTGAACTGTAATACCAATTTGACGACTCGAGATTATGGATGCACGCGGTGTAATGCTGTGCGTTTCGCTTCTCTTTGTGCTCGTATCGCTGTCGCACGGGTCCATTTACGAGCCGTACATTGTTCTGCCGGCGGAGAACACGGGCTCCCACAACGCTGCAACCGTGATCGGAATATGGAAATCCTCATCGATATTGTCAGAAACATCAGGTCTTTCCTGAGCCCTTATTTTGTAGTTAGTATAATGCAATCAGGGTGAGTTGCGGCTTTTATATCTGTATGAATGTTGTTGTCTGCAGTATACAGAGGATGACTGAACTGGCTGAACCACGGTGCGGATGTACAGCAAATTCCTGCCCACACAGCCCTCGTGTACTATCTCCACCACCCAGACGAGGCTCGCCCAACACAGCTAATTCCAGTTGGAATGGCACCACAACACTGCCGTATAACGGCATCTGGTACCAGCTTTTGGGAGTACGCAGTACTGCAGAAGCCGGGACTTTGTCGTTCGTAACTATGGTCATTGCTACGGGAAGTCTGTCCATAATCCTCTTAGCAGGCCTTCTAGCCATAATCCACAAAATACTTCAGCGCGCCGGCTCTGGGTTCAGCCGCTTTATCGCCCTTCTGTTTAGCGTGCCATGGGGAATCATCATCGCGACATTGGCCGTCATGGCTTTCGTGTCCCAATACGTGCCCTTTTTCGTAATTAGTAACTAGTAAGTGAGATTCCGCTGTTAATACCGTAGTTAGTGGTGTTCATGTGGAAAAGTGCATGCGCAACGAAGGGTATCGTACGGTTTTTAGCTGAACAGATACGGAGCCACATTTGGTTTCAAGTGTGAATTTTTCTTATCTCCCATAACTAGTGCCTGTATGGTTGACCTGGAAAACAATGGATAGCATAACATTGGCAATCCACAACAAATTGCCAATCACAATGCTAGGAGCATGAATATTGCAGATCCCAGTGTTCTACAATATCGAAAGTCATTTAATTATATATGCAAGCTCCAATATTTCTAGTCTAGTTACCTCCTGTGGGCGCTTATGATGTAGCATTATTTATGTATTTCTGCCTCTACACCGGATTATTCGATTGTTTTTTTTGCAACTGAAGCATTTCCTGCAAACATCAAAAATTGAAGGCTCATAAAAGAAGTAAACGAAATCACAGACAATTCCAAATCAATACAAACCAAAACAAAAAAACCAAGCTCTTTCAACCGTCATCGTCTCTATAGCGACAGCGGTCACAGCCATAAAAATTTTACAACAGAACAACAAAATATTTACCGGTACATTCTTTCAACTTCGGTAGGTAAATTTTTAAAGTACCATCCATCGAACGAACTTATGAGGCAGAACTAAAAACACGACTGAAATGGCTAGCAATGCTGGTGATGAATTGATGATATTGCGGCCTTTAAATTCATTTTTCTGATGGGCGACGATATCAGAATTTTGTACGCGGTGTTTCAGACTGTTCTCGATGAAATCTCATGGCTGCCGCATATCTACTAAGACGGCTAAGACGATGAAAGTACTGAGGCTGGATATCCTTCCGGTAATGGGGTTTCGGACGGAGGCGCCAGAAATTCATAACCGAATGCAGATGCAGAACCTAAAACCGGAGGTATAGAAGCCCACCAGAAAGCTTCTACCGGTGGAACAGAAAACAGCACTGGGGCTTCGTAATGGGGAAGGGTAGGTGGAGCGGGAAATGCAAATGAGGGCGTTGAAAATCCATAATCTGCCCCTGGGAATGTGGCTGCAATTGGAGCTCCATAAAACGCTAGTGAAGGAGCTGCAGCTCGAGGTACCGGCGCGCCGTAATACGCAAGCGCTGGAGCTGCAACTAAAGGTACCGGAGCTCCGTAATACGCTGTTAGAGGAGCTGCCACTGGAGGCACCGCAGCTGCATAAGGCACTGGAAATGGAGCTGCAACTGAGGGCATTGGAGTCCCATAGTACGCTGGTGAAGAAGCTGCAGTTGGATGGCCCACAGATTTAAAAGACGCTGGTGGTGCTGCTGAGGAAGGCACTATGAATCCATAAATTTCCGCCACTGAAGGAGGAGCCACTGGAAGAGATGCAGGCAATGCGACAGTGGGAGCCTGCATAGAAGGAGAACTTGAAACTTTTGCTGATTTTGATCCCATGAAGCTACACGGTGAAGGTCCGAACGTCCCGCATGGTTCATAGAACTCATTGACCTCATCCTCGAGATTGTTTGGTGTCCCGCTAGTGTACCCTTCCGGCTCCCTGATTTTGATAAACACTCCATTACACGTTGCAGCGTGATCGGCCCACCAATAATCAGCAGGACTTGGTGGAAGATTGCGCGCACGCCTGAAGTACCCGTATTCCGGTACTTCGTACTGGCAACGACCGTTGCAGCGCCATTCGTGCTGCAGGTAATAATCCACTTCGTCATAAAAAGTATGTCCGATCATGATGTTGGCGCCGGTCAGCTTATTGATTCGAAGCATTTGCTCATCGAAATTTTTTCCATGACTCTCAGGGTCACGTTTGTTCATAATGGAGAGATAAGCATGAATCATCTCGTGCAGCAAGGTCTCAACCAGGTCTTTTCGCGGACGGAACTTCAGCAATGGTTCACTTAGCGCGATCAAACGGCTCTCATCTTTCTGTTGGTATCGGAAGGCCCCAGCCAGTCTATAAAAATGTGGGGTTTTAATAGGCTACAGCCACTGCACATGTCGGTATGCTTCCGCAGATTTACACGAATTAAAATGATTAAATTTTAAACATTGAAAAAACACTCATAATCGTTATAAAACTTGGAATTTTTAAAGCAAAACGGAAAATATTCTGAGCAAACCCACATTTTTAAATAAACGGTAAACAGTCTACGGTGGTGTTGTTCAAAGTAAGCCGAAATACTTGCACCATAGTAGACGAAAAAAAACTATCAATCTTGCTTGCACTGTATTGTCACAGGTCTGTGGAATGTTTCAGTGACCGCGCAGTCACGCGGGTTATGGGCAACTTTCAGATCAAAGTCACCAACGGGAAGTGCGATGTATGTGAGAACGCTACAAAGTGCTATGTATGCTGTTTTGGTAGAAGTTGCTTTTCAAATGGTCGGCCTGTTTTATCTCAGCCGCCCCTTTGCCTTTGCAGTTACAGTTGCCTTTTCCAAACTTTGATTTACCTTTCTTCTTGCCGCCGTGAAAACCTTAGCCCTTGACTTCGCCGCCTAATAATAAAAACCGTTTCGAAAGCCATTGCCGCTAATTACTGTAAGAAGCCGAGCCACTGTTAACCGGTTACCCTTTCAAGACTTTTCACTTGCTCTGCTTGCCTTTTTTTCACAATCACAGCAGGTTTTGTACATAGGTAGCTCACCGTAGCGCCGGCGCACACATGAAAATTCACAGATATTTATATTTATACATATTTATAATTCAGTTTGTTTTCTAGGAATTTGAATGATAAATTGCTGTAAATATATAGATATGTGTAAATTTGATACTTGCACAGCTATGTCCAACTATGTATAACTTGCTTTGTATAACTATATATAACTTGCTATGTACAACTATAGCTATGCATTATGTATACCTGCACTGTGATTATAAAAACGTTTTAATGCAGAAAACAGCAAGTGAAAAGTCTTGAAAGGATAATGTGTCAAAAGTAGTTCGATTTTTTTACGGTTAATTACCGGCCAAGGCTGTCGAAAGGCCCAGGCTCAAACTCTGATCCTGACCACTCAAACTCTGACTCTGACTGCTCTAACTGTGACTCTGACCGCTCAAAGTCTGACTCTGATTCTGAAGGTTTACTGTTTTGCAACGGTAGATTAGGACGGCGAAGGCAAAGGCTAAGGTTTTCACGGCGGCAAAGGTAAAGAAAAAGTTGGAAAAGGCAAACTGAAACGGCAAAAGCAGGCCGACCGCTCTTAAACCTCTAACACGGCTCAATACTAAATGCATTATGCATATCACACATAGATTACGATACACGTATAGATACTTATACAGAGTATACTTGGATACGTATAATAATTATATTATAATTACATAATAATTACATAATAATTATATAATAATTACATATAATAATTATATAATAATTATAGTATACTGAATAATGAAGAAAACGTCAGCAGTTACTGCAACTTACTGCATCAGCCGCTTGGTCCACTCCAAATCCACATTGCGGATAGCATTGCAAAAGTAGTCGCGATTAAACTGTCGAAACAAAGCATGGATGTCTGGATTCGGGTCCACCAGCTCCCATAGTTCATCCACAGGCGACAGTTTCAGGTTGTATGCAGAATCAGTTTTCAGTTTCTTCGCGCTACGCTGTTCGGGTGTAGAGGGACGACGTAATTCAGTGTACAGCATGCGAATTTCGGATAGTACTGGGACCGATTCTACATTTTCTTGGCTTTGAGGAGCATCCTGACATTTGTCCTGCACAACAGCGCACTAGTAATTGGAGGCTGTGGAGCCAAAACGCAAGAACCGTGCTAAATGCCCATATTCTCGGTTTACATTAACGAGAAGTTGCAAACCGTAAATACGATGAGACACGGGAACGCTGACGAGAGACTGCGAAGCACACGCTCACTTGTGTATTTCGTACATTGTTTCAGACTCCAGAATGCTATGAGGATTGCCCTTCTTTTATCGCAGTACTAGCAGCGAAAAAAGGAAGATTTCGCAGACAAATATATCAAATAATTTACTGCTACCGTTATGCGCGCACTCGGCTATAAAACGCTGGAGCACTAACAGCTAAACAGATTAAATATTGGTTGGACTAAGGAGTAATTCAGTAACCATGGCCAAGCGAACTGGTGACAAGTACTTCTATTGCAAAGAAACCAGACAAAAACGGGGTCCCCGACAATAGTTACCTGAAGTACAGCATCCCTCATACGTTTTGGGGCTCTGAAAAAGATCAGCAATTGACATCCAACAAATTTCAAGCATAGAAATTCTGTTGAAAACTCGTGCAGAATGCTTGCATAATATGCAGAAACGAGTGTCTGGCAGCAGTTACAAGATATCAAGTTGAAACAAACTTACCTGAACGGGTTCGCCATCATGTAGTCTTCCGACTGACTTGCCCCGATTCTGATAGCAGACAAACAATAATCAGTGGCTTGAAATTAGAAGAGAGAGGGTGATACAGCAGGCATCCGCCATCGATCGTGTGTAGTCTTACCTTTTTTACGAAAAATGAGTCGAATGCTGATCGAGAGAACCACTGCTGTTCAGAGCGATGAAGAATCGGTAATGAAACGCGTTCGATCTTGAATCTCACTAGACACTCAACCTCCATCCACACTGACTATGCGATTATACAAATGCTGTCTCTTAAACGTTGAAATGTGCACGGGTGAAAACTGTAAGCAAGAACACTTTCGTGAAGCAAACAAGTCCACAACTTTTACTCTGGATATCAACTTCCGTCTTCAGGCTGGTCTGCTAGTGCGAAACACCGTGCATGTTTGTTCTTGCTAGGACGAGAAGACAGGCCAGTTCCGCTGGGCGGTTGGATCATCTGACGAGTTTATTGATTATTTTTCTTGGACACTCCTTCGCCCCGCAACGCTTACACTTCATAATGTTATAGGTAGACTTTATTCCATTGTTTTTAGTGCAATGAGCTTTTAGAATGTTTTTTAGCCCGAATCTGACTCAACAGGAGAAAGGCTCCAAAGTTTGGCCGGGGCTTGCAAAACGAGTTGAGGGACACCAAAGTGGATTGGTTACCTATACCGGAGTCGAGAGCAAGCGGAACAAGCGGAACACCGTTTGGACAGATCGCAAGTCTGTTTTTTTCAGGCCGTCGCTAACATAGGTTATTATTTAAACATGTAAAACGCCACATGGAAGGCGGTTACCGGTTGCTCACAATGTAATGTTTGAGTTAGCGGTTGTTGAGAGACGCCAGTCTGAATATAGAAAGAATTCTGCTGGGAGTGCTGCTGGGAGTGCGCGCGGGTGGGTATATATAGACCGAGTTCCTTGTCGTTGGATGTGTAATCATCATTAAGATCGCTGTCGCCCTCTGGAAAGAATCATGCCAAAGTCATGCCCGTTCATGTAGGTACGATATTTTTCGTTCAGTTGGTCATGAGGATCATTGTGTTCTTCGCCTTGGTATTCCGCTAGGTCACAGCCTTCTTCTATTGACCACGCGATTCTACTAGCCAATGCTGTGACTCACTTTGTATATGACAATACCAGAGAAAATTGTTGCCAAATCACTTGTATGTTGCTGTTAATTTTTACTAACTGAATCGATTTGATTACTTTTGCTAGCAAATTGTCGATTGAATATGGTGAGCAATAGCATCATTCGAGTTATTGAATCAGGGGATTTATATGATTTATATCAGATACCTTTTTCGCAGCTAGGAAAGGCTTTAACCTTTATTAAAGGCGTAGTAAAATCAATAGTATAAATAGTAAAATCGGGTGACTCTCCCGCCTCTCCGCAATAAAAGTCCCGTGACAACAGACAATTACAACAAGAAGTCTGCAAACGGTAACCCTTTAGGCCAATTTAAGACCTAGAGGATCCGCATGGGATAGCTAAGTTTCCGGTCATCCGTGGCGTTTCAGAAACCACTCTATAGCGTTACTGAATTAAAAAACCGGAAAAAATACACAGAACTATAATTAGTTATTCCGCGCTTTGGTCGTGGTGCAGAGGATCGGGAACAAAAACAACCAGACTCATTTGCAAGGCATACGCGTATGTGACCGCGGGAAAAATTTAGCTGGATATCTTTTAATCGCTCCACCTGACGTTTCGGTCGGTTATACAGGTACCACCACATTAAAACCATCCCGCAGAATTTCCTTTTGTTGCACACCCATTCAAACATTCTAACTTTCCAATGCAACCATTTCAACCACCTTCCGTTTTTACCCTATTAAGAGCTGCGCTCCGGTCTACCAATGCACAGTTTGGTGTATTTTCCTAGTCCAATATTTTATACTCGTACGTAATAATACTCGTACCATACGAACAGAACTGCATTCTTTTGGCCACTGCGGCACTATACCAAGCAGTCACACAATAAAACTGAGCAAACAGCCGACAAGCATAAAGCTCTAAAAACCAAACTTCAGTCCCTGCAGCGCCTGCGCGAAAAGGCAGCTCCATGCTGTAATTATTAGTACAGAGTACGTACGTACATATATCGTACAGATATATGTACGTACGGCCTCTGTAGATATCGTACGCCGCATAAAATGACCAAACTATCTTCGGCAACCCCAAAAAATATTCTTACTTCCTTTTTGATTTATTTAATATTTATGCAGCCGGCAAGAAAACTGAGCAAACAGCCAGAAAGTAGGCCGACCCCTGAGTAAACAGCCGGCAAGAATGTTAAAAAATAATTTTGATTACGTTTTTCATAAGATCATTTCTTAAAACGTATTTCGATGCCTTAAATGATTAATTAATATTTTTTCAAAATTTTTTGTTTTTTTCACGTTACAGCATAGTCTCCAGAGACTGATACAAGCTATTTCTAAGCCACTGTACTACAAGACACACAAGCACCACAATAAAATTGAGCAAACGGCCGGCAGCATAAAACTCTAAAAAACAAATTTGGGTCCCTGCGCCAACGGCATCTACTTGCTGTTATGAAACGTACACATCCCACGCCGCATATACTTTTTCAGCATCCGACACGAATATTTATAATTTCAACAATTATAACATTTTTGTAGCCACTGCACTACGACTAACATGTGTACGCAATAAAACTGAGCAACCAGCCAGCACGAACAAAACTCTAAAAATCAACTTCACCCCCTGCGCGAGCGGCATCTCCTTGCTGTTATTAATCGAACACGTGCCGCGGCGCATATACTGTTTCCACGAACCACTCCCGCTCTCCCGACCGCCCACGGTGTGCTTATTCCCCGCAGGCCCCGCCGGTCTACGCGCCGGACGACGACTCATTAATCACTTTGACCATCCTGCAGTCCGATCCGCCGGCGCCCAGCCACGCGTGCATCGTTCCAATGTTCTGTGTGAAAATGCTGGACGACAGGCACTGGTCCACCGCGTTATTTCTTAAAATTTATTTCTTAAAAATTTTTCTCAAAAATTATTTCCAAAAATTTCTGAAATCATTTATTTTTTATTTTTCTAATCAATATAATTTGTATTAACTATTACTTTCTTTCTCTGTACTCTGTAATTTCTTTTCAAACCATTTTAAACTTTTTAATGTATTGATCTAATAAAAATTTAATCAAAATAAATCAATAATTCACCTAGTTAACTAAACAATTGATTAATTAATAATATGAATATAGATAAGTTCTTATCGAAATTTTACCCATTCTGCTGGGGATCTGCGTGTAGGCCGCTTGCAGCCGCTTCATCAACTCCTCATATGTACAATTTTTCCGGCACAATCAATCTCCGGATTATGATGCAGCATTGTCCGGCGGTGCCCACCGGGCACACCAGACTGCACAATGCACAATACGAAATTGTAAATATTATTCATAACACATGTGTTTATTTTTTAACCATTAATTCTGTGATGTCCTGGTAACCCATGACTTTGTACTTGTAATTAATTATGACCTTGACTATCGGTTTACATGTATTTATAACTATCACAAAATCAGTCAATAAATATGCGAGCGAGAGTTCACGACAAATTCAATTCTTAATTTACTCGTAAATAATTTGAGACTGAAAAAAACTTATTAAACATTTTATGTAAAAATAATTAGGAGGAATATTTTGAAAATAATTACCCTAATAGTAGTATTTTTCAATAGAATTATTCTTCCTCGGGTATTTTATGCAATAATAATCCGAATTATCGAAATATGAAATTGCAAACCATATTTATCACAGATGTGTTTATTTGTTAACAAGTAATTCATCCTTAGTTTATTTACAATTAATTTATTTTAAAAAAAACTGGGAAAATTTTTTAAAAACAGTTAGGAGGAATATGTCAAAAATGATTAACACTTTAATAAGAGTATTAATCAATTTCCCACTGCACAACAAAGTTACGTGCACAGTTAAAGTTTTGTGCAACTGCAATTTACTTCTGTAATTATTCGCTAAAAATACGTAAGTACAATATTAGATCGATATATAATTCATTAACAGGTTTCTGTTTATTATTCGACATAGAATCGCGGCTATCGGCTTTAATGTTACCATTGCACTACAACGAACACATCACACCAGAAAACAAAGCAAACACCGGCAAGATTAACAAAATTAAGTGTACAGTCCCGTATTATGTTAACTGGGACAAAGATTGTTCTGAATTTGGAGTCGGAAATGGATAGTGCCTTGGTGAGCCGTGCTCGTTGATGTGCATAATGAAAAATAAATTTAAAAAATAAAAATTAAAT